AACAAACTTAAATTGATAAATTGGACTTCATTAAAATTAAAAACTTTTGCTCTGCACGAAGTCCTGCTAAGGAAGATGAAAAGATAAGCCACAAAGAAGGATAATGTATTTTGCAAACGACGTATCTGACAAAGGACTAGTATCTAGACTATATACTAGTATCTACACTATATAAAGACCCTTAAAACTCAATAGGAAAAACACTAAACAGTCTAATTAGAATATGAGCAAAAGACATGAGAAGACTTTCCACAGCAGATAAATAGTATGAAAAGGTGTTCAACACCATGAGCTATAGGGGAAATGCAAATTAAAACTGCACAAGATGTTACTATACTCCTATCGGAATGGTTAAAAAAACAAATGGTGACAACACCAAATGCTGGCAAGGTCACAAAGTAAGTATATCTATCACTCATACACTGCTGGTGTGAATCAGTTTGGCAGTTTTTAAAAAACTAAACATGCAACTACCATACAACCTAGGAACTGCCCTCCTGGATATTTACTCCAGAGAATGAAAACATACACTCACACACAAACTACACGTGAATGGTGACAGCAGCTTTGTTCATAACAGCCCAAAACTGGAAATAACCTAGGTGTCCCCTCTTGTCATGGAATGAGAGTCAGCAATAAAAAGGAGCAAACTGCTGATCCAAGCAACAACCTGGATGAATCATCAGAGAATTCTGGGTGAAAAGAGCCAATCTCAAAGGTTTCAGGTTATAGGATTCTCTTCACATAACATTCCTCAAATGTCAGATTTATGGAAATGGAGAAGGATTCCTGAGTGGCTGGGGATGGGGTGATGTGGGAGGGAGGAGGTGATGGAGACACTGGGTACTTTCTGCATTGTAGCCAGTATCTTATCCCAGATGTGGTGCCGTACCACAATGTTCAAGGATTTCACCATCAAAGGACCTGGGCAAAGGAGTACATGGGATCTCTGTTATTCCTTACAGCTACAGAGGAAACACAATTATCTCAACATAAAAAGTTTAACGAAAAAGGAAAAACAAAACTCAGCCACCGTGGCCTCTGCAGTCAGTCCTCAGGGGTCTATGGTGGATGGCCACGGGCCTCTCCAGCTGCTTCCCTGGAGGCCATGCACATCCCCACTCTCAGGGGTTCTTCTGTCCCTTCCCCTCACAACCCTCCCTGGAAAGATCTGGGATGCATGTCAGGAAAAACCCAACTGTCTCAACTCTGGCCAAGAGGGCGGCCAGGGACAAGGGAGGGAGAAACATCTCAGCCTGCTATACCCGGTGTTGTCAAGCTGCCAACAGTGACGCTTCCCAGACGTGCACAGGTCTCTGGACACAGCCTCCCTATCACAACCAGCCCACACAACATGCTTGGCTCTCACTCCATGTGGCCTGTCTGTGGCTCCGAGAGAAGGAGGGAACAGTTGGTGACAGGATCTCTAACAGGTGGTTAACCCAGGTTTCCTGTCCCCTTGGACTCACCTGCCCTTAGACCGCAGTGGGTGGGGAGAAAGGTAGTCAGACATGTTGTGCAATTCGGCACTGAAGAGGGCAGGCCTCAAATAGTCGATGCAGACAGGTGGGTCTCACCCTTCTCACCCCATCACGTCCTGCCATCCAGAAGGCCTGGATGGTCCCACGCCCCCCTCACCTCCCATACACAAACATCTTCTACTTCATGGAATAAGGAGACTCACTGTCCCATACACAGTCCCCTCAAAATCCCACACCTCCTTCAAGAACACTAACCAGCCCCAAGGCCAAATGTATTCCTTCTCTCTCACAACACCACATCTCCTCGCTGGGGACAAGAATCCTGCCTCATCTAGTGAAGCACCCAGTACAAAGTTGGGCTCCAATGACTAAATAAATAAACACTTGAATAAGTCTACGGGTACACTTATTAGTCACCTCCAACCAGCTGAAAAGGTAACTTCTCCCTAACAGCTCTGAGTGCTACAGGAAGGCCCTCCCAGCCAACACCTGGGTGAGCCAGGATGCCCCTCTCTGCATCCCACACCTGGAGCTCCCAGGTCACCAGGGCGACGCTGGTCAGCACCCAGCAGTGAGGGACGATCAGCACTCTGAGGAGCAAGTAGACACAAGCCAGGGCCTCCCCCACCCCCGCATGGCTGAATCCAACTTGTACTTCTCCTTTCTCTTGAGTCCAAGTCTCCAGTTGTGCCACTGTGTGCACTATGCCACCAAGGACAAGAGGCATGGACAAAGCTGGCACTCAGATAGGAGCACACGGCCACACACAAGAGCTACGGCGCTTCCACGCCATAATACTGTCCCTGCAAGAGGTTTCTGTGCCTCTTTAGGGAATAAACAAACAAACAAAACCCACAGCGGAGAAAATAAAGCTCAAACCAGAAGGCTCAGAGAAATGTCTACTCCTGGAAGATGACATCTCAAGAGCAAAAGCCGGCCAAAGTCGCTCACCACCTCCCTGGACCCAGTATCCTCGCCTCTTAAAGAGCGGGTGGCCTCAATAGGGGCTGATGTATCTTCCAGCTTTGACGGTCTAAAATAAGCTCAAAGCTGAGAGGGGCAGCAGGAAGCAGGGGCTTGGTGGAGACTGATGGGAACAGATTGCTTGAGGTTTTCTAACGGAGCCATAAGGATGAGAGTGAGAGGCTGGGGGAGAGCGGGATGCAGAGAGCAACAGAGATAGCTGTTGGCAACAGCCCTGTCTCCTTTCTTTTCAAGTGCAGTTTCTTCCTGAAAGACCCCAGGAGGCAGAAGACTGGGCTAATCTCTCCCAGCACAAATAACCCATAGTTACGGTAGTTTCATTATTTCAGAAACTACCACTCCAGTTGTGCCCTGAAAGTCTCAGGCCTGTTTCAAAACCCACAATTCAACTTTGAATACAGTGAGAGTACAGTATTTTAAGTTTGCTTCCCTCCGTGAATCCAATTAATGATCAACAGATTTTAAAAAATCTTAAAGATTGGACTCAAACATGCAGATTCCATCCTAGTTTATCTAAGCTTAAGAATCCGCAAGCAGCCCCTATGAGGTGTAAAGTTACCAATTTTGGCAATTGCTTGGAATAAGCAGGAAACTTACAAACGTCTGTCAGAACTCTTGCCAACTTAGTAAAACAAAGTGGGCAGGTTTTTTGGTTTGTTACATTGTAAGAGAAAACAGTTCAGGCCTGTAATCCCAGCACTTTGGGAGGCCGAGAGGGGCGGATCACGAGGTCAGGAGATCAAGACCATCCTGGCTAACACGGTGAAACCCCGTCTCTACTAAAAAATACAAAAAATGAGCCGGGCGAGGTGGCGGTCGCCTGTAGTCCCACCCAGCTACTCGGGAGGCTGAGGCAGGAGAATGGCGTAAACCCGGGAGGCGGAGCTTGCAGTGAGCTGAGATCCGGCCACAGCACTCCAGCCTGGGCGACAGAGCGAGACTCCGTCTCAAAAAAAATAAATAAATAAAATAAAACAGTTTAATAAAATATCATTCTTGCTTTTCACAAATGCTCAGTGAAGGACGCAAGCCAGGGACTGGTATTCCCAATCTACAGATAAGGAAATTAAAATATAGAGATAAAGGGATTTGTTCAAGGTCACACAGGTGAAAGTGACAGCCCAAGACTTGAAGCAAAGTCTCCCAACTCCTCCTCATCACATAAACTGTTTCGCGGAAAAAAACATCCAGATGGGAAGAGGGAATCAAGTTCTCCTTTATACTCCAGAACACCTTTCGAGGTAACTGAGTTCTAGTCATCCCAGGCTGACCGTCCCTAAAGCCCTTGGTATCTTAACCATCCATGACTTTGCAGCCTTGAGTGTTTGGTTATGCTTTTGGGGTTTAGATGAAAAGAATCTTTTCCTGGCAGCTGGAAACCTGACCTCAGAGAAAGGCCCGGTGCCCCAGGCCATAACCCATGCCCCACCACCCTACTCCAGTCGGCCATGTAAACTAGTCAAACCCTGGGTGCACTGAAGTGGCATTAAAAACAACAGGCCCGTTCACTCGTTTTCAGTCTAAGCGGTTCCTCTGCGACAGCAGTGGCTACAACTAGGTCACACTGGACTGGAATGTGAAGGGACTTCCCCTGGCTTCATTCAGGAGGCTGAGAGAAAGCTCTGAAGAGGACAGAGATGATGGCTGTGGGGAGGGTACCCAGGCACATCCCAAGGAGATGCACACAAGGCTCGGAATCCTGGAACACTAGGAGTTCAAAGAGCAATCACTGCAGGGGTTCCCAAGGGCCATGGGGACTGCAACCAAGCCTCCTGGGGCCTTTCATCAACACAAATTCCCCATCTCCCAAATCACTCCAGGGCGGGGGCCCCAGAACTCTGTGTTTAATGGCTATGACTCTAATGCACGTTTGGGAGCCGCCAACTAGTTCAAAGGCCTGTTTGACAGATAGATAAGGCTGGGAGACAGAAACCAACTTTCCCGAGGACCCACAGGTCTCCTCACCCCTCGGCCAGTGACCAGGGAACTGGTCCCAGCTCCCCACTTAACTACGGCCTGCCAGCCTAAGTTCAAGAACAAGACCCTTCTCGCCAGACCAGGACACCCTTCACCTCTCTCCAGTCCTTGAGAGTGACGATGATTCAGAATCGGGGCAGGCTGCGTCCCACTAGACGGAAGCCCACAGTCCTTCCCAACAATCCGACCCCTGGGCCACTCTGGCTGGACAAGTCCAAGTCCAGTCCCAAGCCAGACTGTGAGGGGGGCCCCGTCAAGCGGCATGCAATCCCCAAGCGCTTTGTTCCTACTAAGCGAAACCAGGCACTTTTGAGTCCCCCCAAAAGCGTGATCACACAACTGAGCAATAGGAACAGGAAAGGATGTTATTTTTGGGCATACTTGAGGATTCTCCCTTTGTTCGGGCTCTGTCAAGGCACTTCCCGTCCCCATCCCTGTCCCCATGCCCCGGGACTCGCGCAATTCCCTGCTCCATTTTTATTTTTCCTGCAGTCCTTGGCGGTGGCCCCGGCCCGCGGCTCCCGGGACAGAGGTGTCTGGGCCAACCCCGGCGCTCACCTGCCTCAGGTCCTCGTCGTTGAGCAGATGTGACTCGTGGGGCTTGAAGCAGTTCTGATACTCGCTCCTATTGAAGATGTTGGTCTGGAATTTCCTGCACGGGTTCTCCTTGGCCGCCGACATGGACCTCCCGGCTGCTGCAGCGCCACAGGAGGGCCGGCGGGGCTCTCCTGGTGAGCTCATGGCTCAACGCGGCAGCCGCAGACCCGGCCTGGCCTCCTTCCCGGCCGGCGCGTGTCGCGCCGAGGATCCTGCGTCGCCAGGGTCTCACAGCAAGCGCGACGCCCAGCGCCCGCCCGCACCGCCGCGCCCGGCTGCCGCGGGTCGATGTACTCGGCCTTAGGCCGCCGCCTCCCGCTGCAGCCCGCTTCATCTGCGCAGCCGCCGAAGCCCCTTGGTGCCTAGTGGCCCCGGCAAATAAGAACGGTGCGCCTCATGCGTTCCCGCCGAGCTCTGGGAGGTGCCGGGGCACGAGGGACGGGGCCGCGCCCCCGACGCGATCGGCAGCCCCGTCGGCCAATGGCGGCGACGTACTACTGCTACCGGAATAACACCTGGGCCAATGGTAGCCAGGGGCGGGACCGAGGGCCGTCGGGAGCAAAGTAGGTTGTAAGGTCCGGGAAGGTGGGGGCGCCGGCATGGGGCATTCGGGTTTCGTGTGCTGGCGCCGAGGCGGGCCGGGCTGATGACTGCAGGGCCCTGGCGGGGAAACCAGAGACGACCTCAGGCTGGCTCTTGGCATGCCCCTGGCTCCCAGGCTCGCCTTCCCGCACCCACGCTGCACACCGACGGAGGCATCTTTACCAAGCCAAGCACCGGGAGGATTAGTTTAGCACCTACTGTGTACCAGGCCCTCTCGTAGGAGTCATAGTGTCAGGAAAGGCTGGATACTGCTCCAAGTGCTCGCTCATTAAAGTTTCACAACCTCTTAATTCTCATCTCCATTTACATAGGAGGAGACCGAGGAGCAGAGACTAGGAGGAACTGTTTCAAGGGATGACTAAGAGAAGATGTCAGCAGACTTGAAGAGCTGTCAGCTCCATTAGGAGAGATGAGCGAAGGCTGACTCTCTGCCAGGTACTGAGCTAGGCATTCTTTCCCCCATGATGTGCTTGAGGAAATGAAGGATCAGACATCTGGAGTAATTTGTGTAGGATCACTCTGCTAGGAGGGAGCCGAGCTGCCACTCCCATCCTCTATTGTCCAGCCTCCTGGCCAAAAGACAACCTAGAAAAGACTGTCAAATCCATTGATAATAAGATTCATCTGGGGGAATGGGGGAATGCTACAGGTTTCCAGGTCTTCCCATGGAATTGGCTATCTGTTGGAGTATACGAATCTATGAGACAGAGTCTTGCTCTGTTGCCCAGGAGTGTAGTGGTGCAATCTCAGCTCACCGTAGCTTCGACCTCCTGGGCCCAAGTGATCCTACCACTTCAGCCTCCCAAGTAGCTGGGACTGCAGAAGCATGCCACTTCACCTGCAGTTTTTCTGCAGAGCCGGGTCTCACTAAAATGCCCAGGCTGGTCTCAAACTCTTGTGCTTAAGATATTCCCCTGCCTTATCACGAGGTCAGGAGTCTGAGACCAGCCTGACCAACATGGTGAAACCCCGTCTCTACTAAAAATACAAAAATCAGCCGGGCGTGGTGGCGTGCGCCTGTAATCCCAGCTACTCAGGAGGCTGAGGCAGGAGAATCGCTTGAACCTGGGAGGCGGAGGTTGCAATAAGCTGAGATGGCGCCACTGCACTCCAGCCTGGGTGATAGAGTGAGACTCTCTCTCAAAAAAAAAACCAAAAAAACAAAAAAAAACAAAAAAAAAACCACCCTGTCTCAGCCTCCCAAAGTGCTGGGATTACAGGTGTGAGTGACTGTGCCCAGCCCAAGAATCTGTTTTTAAAAATATTTCTGCTAGGCAAGTTTTGGAAACAGTGGGTGGAGCTGTGGTTCTCAGATCCTGGGAGATTTAAAAAATTCCTACTCTGGAGGCTGTGCGCGGTGGCTCAGGCCTGTAATTGCAGCAGGCCGAGGCAGGTGGATCGCTTGAGGCCAGGAGTTTAGGACCAGCTTGGCCAATGTGGCAAAACCCGTCTCTACTAAATATACAAAAATTAACCAGGCATCATGGCACAGGCCTATAATCCCAGCTACTCATGTGGCTTGAACCAGGGAGGTGGAGGTTGCAGTGAGCTGAGATTGTGCCATGTACTCCAGCCTGATGACACAGGCCCAGATAAAATTTTATTTTTATTTATAAAATAACATAAAATAAAATAAAATAAATTCCTACTCCGGTCCCTTCCCAGATATTCTGATATGGTGTTGATAAAGGCTCCTCAGGGGATTCTCATAGGCACACAGGAGTTTGAACCACTGGATAAAGGAGGGTAGAAAGGCAAAGGCTCTGGCGTGGTGTGTCTCAGTCAGCTATTGCTGCAGAAAACCACCCCACCCCACTGAGCAGAGTGGCCTGAGCACCATTTTCTTGTTTCTCTGGTTCTGAGCGTCAACTAGGCTCTGTCCAGCAGGCCTGCTGGTCTTGCTTGCTGTAAGTGTAGCTGCATGGTAGCTGATAGCTGGATGGGGTCATCAGAGGCTGGATTGAGACAGGACTGGCTGGGCCCTCGTCCTCTCCTTGCAGCCTCAGAGCCTCTCCTTTCCCCGTGGCCTCCCTTTCTGCTCAAGGATCCATAAACAATACGTAATGAACGGGCTCAGCTGTGTTCCAATCAAACTTTATTTACAATAATAAGTGGCAGGCTGGACTAGGCCATCTCTTGGGTCCCCTCTTTCCTTGTTGCTTGGGCCTCCCTCTCCTGGACTGAAATGTTGGTCTCCCTATCCCAACCAGCACCTGTCAGCACTAAAGCATTCATGACCATCGAGCACTGACAGTGTGCCAGGCTGTGTGCCATGTGCTGGGCATTCATCACGTCTCACTAAGTCCAGCTGTCCTCATTTGAAATTAGCTCTGGCAGCGCTGGGGGTGCCTGATGGGAGTCCTTAGTGCCCACCCCCCGTCTTCCATCAATCCCCTGAAAGCCACCCCAAATAAATACATACTTTGTAAATGTAGCTTCAAGAAAAATCACTAGCCCCTTTCCAGTTGCCACCCCAGTATTAGTATTACCCCCAGCTTGCAGATGAGGAAACTGAGAAATGGACCGGGCAAGTATTCAAGGTCATACAACAGTAAATGGTAAGACTGGGATTCAGACATGGGCAGCATCTTTGTGAGCACTGCTCTGCACAACCTTCAGCCCAGGGAGCTGCACGCAGCCCTGACAGCGTTGGGGGCTGGGCCCCAGCCTTCCCTGGAGGCAAGACCACAAGATCTCCCAGGCCCTTTCCAGTTGTGACTCCATGAGGCTTTTTATTTTGTTTTGTTTTTGTTTTTGTTTTTGAGACAGAGTCTCACTCTGTTGCCTAGGCTGGAGTGCAGTGGCATAGTCTCTGCTCACTGCAACTCCGCCTCCCAGGATCAAGAGATTCTCCTTGTCTCAGCCTCCTGAGTAGCTGGGATTACAGGTGCCTGCTACCACGCCCGGCTAATTTTTTGTGTTTTTAGCAGAGACGGGGTTTCACCATGTTGGCCAGGATGGTCTTGAATTCCTTACCTCATGATCCACCCGCCTCTGCCTCCTAAAGTGCTGGGATTACAGGCGAGAGCCACCGCGCCCGGCCTCCATGAGGCTTTTCTACAGCAGGCACCAAATGAAAATAATCTCCAGATGTTCACTAGGAGAGAATGTAGTGTACTACATTGGTACATTGGTACACAGAAAGTCTACCAAAATGGTAAGTTGGACATTTTATTTACATTTAAAGTCTGTGACCCCTTTGACATAGCGACTCCACTTCTAGAAAGATAGGTTGTAAAACTGCTCACACAGGCCAGGCATAGTGGCTCATGCCTGTAATCCCAGCACTTTGGGAGGCCAAGGGGGGCGGATTGTCTGAGTTCAGGAGTTCGAAACCAGCCTGGGCTACATGGTGAAACCCCGTCTCTATTTAAAAAAAAAAAAAAAAAAAAAAAAGCCGGGCATGGCGGCATGCGCCTGTAGTCCTAGCTACTCAGGAGGCTGAGGCAGGAAAACTGCTTGAACCTGGGAGGTGGAGGTTACAGTGAGCCAAGATCACGCCACTTCACTCCAGCCTGGGTGACAGAGCAAGACTCTGTCTCAAAAAAAAAAAAAAAAAAATTGCTCACACAGGTACAAAGAAATATTATGTAAAAGGATGTTCATTGCATTATTGTTCTTAATAGCAGAAAACTGGAGACACTCCAATTGTCTACCATTAGAGGAACAGATGAATAAATTATGATTCTTTGACATAAGGGAGTACCATGGAGCTAGCTGTTAAAGACTGAGATAGTGTTGACATAGCCAACCATCTCGAAATATGGTGAATGTGAAAAAGCTAGTGGAGAAACAGTGTGCATTGTAGTAGCTCATCCTTGTTTTAAGAGCATGTGTGTTAGCAATATTCACAGTTAGTGTTTGCATGGATAAGGTCAGGGGCACATACAGCTACCCGTTCATTGCAGTTAACCCTGGGAGGTGAAAGAATGGGGACTCACACCTAAGCTAGAGGTTTATATTATGTTTAAAATTTTTAATACAAGCTTTTGTTTTCTTACTAAGATAGAGAAAATCATACAATGAAGGCAGATGTATCCATCACCCAGCTTCCATATCAACTCAGGACAAGTCTTGTTTCAACCATACTCCCTCATCCACTGTGTGTGTCTGTAAAAGATAAGAACTATTTTCAAAGAGTAGCCACAATACCATTATCACACCTAAAAAAAAATAATTCTTTAATATCATTAAATGTCCAGTAAGTGATTTCCAGTTATCTCCTAAAAACATAAATTATTTTTGTAATAAGAAAAAAAGGCTAAAGGAAAAAAATTGTCAATCCAGAGAGTAGATTAGTACAAATTTCCTGGAGCTTTGTTTAGTGATACTTATCAAGAGCCTTAGCAATGTGCTTACCTTTTGCCCTAGTAATCCCAACCTGTGAATTTATTCTAAGAAAAAAAATCATTAAAGAGGTATACAAACATTGTTCACTACACTATGCAGTGTCTGTTACAGAGAAGTTGTTTGAAAACTATTTGTTGAGGCCAGGTGGCTCACACCTGTAATCCTAATGCTTTGGGAGGCTGAGGCAGGAGAATTGCTGGAGACCG